TGCAACTCATCCTAGAGTGTCTGTACTTTCGTAAACGTCGAGCTCTTTCAACTGATGCTTCTTACGACTCGTCCCCGCTACACATAATCATAAGTACGCTTAGCACACCTTATCTGTCGATTCGTGTGCCTGCGATGACTCACCCGCCTCCACCCTCACTCTGCAGGCAGCTGTGTGCTGCGAGGGACAGAGTTAAGAACGGCTTAGAGAAGCTGCTGGAGACGAACGAGCTAGTCGCTAACATGCAGGTGCAGCTTACGGCCCTAGAGCCCGTACTAAAGACGAAGGGAGAGGACGTCGCCAAGCTGATGACGAAACTCGCTGTCGACCAGGAGAAAGCTGATCAGGTATGTCTGTGTGTCGCATGTAGACTAATAGACCCCCGAACTATGTACTACTAAGAGTGTGTGTGCATGTGTGCGTGTACGTGCGTGCATGCATGTGTGCGTGGGTATGTGTGCATGTGTGTGCGTGGGTATGTGTGCATGTGTGTGCGTGCACGCTTGTGTGCATGGGTATGTGTGCATGTGTGCGTGCACGTGCGTGCGTGCGTGTGTGTGTGTGTGTGTGTGTGTGTGTGTGTGTGTGTGTGTGTGTGTGTGTGCGTGTGTGTGCATGCGGGCGCGCGCCTGTCTGTGTGCGTACGTGCGCGCGTGTATGCCTGCGTGTGTGCGCGTGTATGCGCGTGCACGTACGTGCGCGTGTGTGCGTACATACGTGCGTGTGCGCGTGCGTGTGTGCGTGTGCGTGCGTACGTACCTGTAGATGTCGCACTGGATTCCTGCGACCTTGATGCCGCGATGCGTGCCGACGTCCAGATGCTGACCGCTGAGGGTCAGGCGAGTCCGGCCTGCCATCGGTCCGAACCTCGGAGAGAAGGACTCGAACCTGACACCCTGAAGATGCGGAAACGTACGGAGAGTAGTGTCAGACCGTTGTATCTGTCATATTAGTGCGATAGCACTGGTGTCACATCGACGTCCCGTTGTTGTCATATTAATATCAAATTAATGTCAGATTAGTGTCAAATTGATGTCAGATTAGTGTCAATTTGATGTCACATTAGTATCATATCGTTGTCATAATAGTGTCACATCGTTAGTACGTGAATATCGCATCAGTGTCACGTCGTTTCTGACTGAATTATTGCGTTTTCTCGCGCTTCAAGCCCCGAGAAGTGTTGCTATTATACGCTTTCAAAGCGCGAAGAGCCGCCTGTATGGCGCGTAGAACTAAAACGGAACTTTTTTTCGTCTTTTTTTAAAACTCCAATTTTGTAATATTATTTTTGGCGTCCAGGATGTTGGAGGGCGACATCTAGCGGCACTCACCGCATATCTGAAGGTCACCAGAGACTGATGGCGACCTTCGATCCGATACTGCCGATCCTCGTACGGGTTCCTGTCGTCGACGGTGACCACCAGCGCCCTCTCTAGGTCGGGAGTTGTACTCTCGGGCATGCCCCGCGGCCTCGTGCTTATGCACGTGATTCTGTTGGCAGACGTCAGAGGTCGATTTAGCTGTGACGTCACTAACTAGGTCCGTAGCTCTGAGGGTTGGCTGTATGTATCGTTACCATGATTTTTGTGTTAGGAGCTTTATTATCGCAAACCTACGTACTGCCTCGTAAATAATGTTATATACTAATATTAATTATATTGATATTAATATTATTATTACCCTTAATTGTCTATATTCGTTAATAATATTATATGATTAATGAAATTAAAGGTTATTTGACACCGTTATATACCTCCTCGACTTGTTGTTGCATCTAATGCTAGCTAGGACAGGTGCCGGGCTGGTTTTAGGCAGAAAACAGCCGAGGATAAAATCTTGCAGCACTAGCTGCTGTGGTGGGCCATGCCCTGATTGTTGGAAATTGACTCAAGTTAGCTTAGAGGTAAGCGGGCTCAAATTGTGAATTCCTTCACGCTACGTCACCAACTCACGTCTGCATCGACCACTTGACGATGTTGCAGACGCTGTCGCCTAGCAACACGGAGATGTTGGCGAAGAGTAAGCCAAAGTCGTCGCCGTGGATTGTGATGAGTGTTCCGCCCACCAGGGGGCCAGAAGTCGGCGAAAACTGCGGGTAGATATAATGATTATATATATTACCGGATAGATTTCTGTAATAAATTGTTATCAGTAGACCTGTGTTTATAATTAGGAAAGCGCCCTAGCCTGTAGGTATATAGTACTGCATATAGAACAATAAGGCATGATGCCACGTCTAGCAAGTATCTTACCGTTCTGATTCGAGGAGGACACGTGTCGGTCCTGAAGGCGCCACCGTCGCCGCAGTCGGCAGCCGTCGAGCAGTGGTCTCCACACCAGCCGCAGCCGTGAGGATGCTCTGTTGTTACGCACAGCCCGCAATCCATGTACAGATGGCAGCTCTTGAGCGGTAGCATACTCACCTGGCCAGATTAAAGAGATGTGGCGAGATATATATATATATATATATATATATATATATATATATATATATGTATATGGATAGACTAGATAGAATAAGATAGATTAGATAGATAGATCAGAATAGAAGAAAGAGAGAGCAGAGAGAGAGAGAGAGAGAAGAAGATAGATAGATAGATAGATAGTAGAAGAGAGAGAGAGAGAGAGGTAGGTAAATAGATACGATAGATAATAGATACGAATTAGATAGATACGATAGCATAGATAGATAGATAGATAGATAGATAAGAAATAGATAGATAGATAGATAGATAGATAGATAGATAGGCATAGATACGATAAATAGATAGATAGATAGATAGATTAGATAGATAGATAGATAGACATATATAAGATAGATGGATAGAAGAATACTATAGATATATAGATAGATAGATAGATAGATAGATAGAATAGATAAGATAGATAGATCGATAGCTAGATAGCTATATAGGTAGATAGTTAGATAGAAGAGAGAGAGAAGAGAAGAGAGAGAGAGAGAGATAGATAGATAGATGATAGATAGATAGATAGATAGATAATAGATAGATAGATAGATTTATGATAGATAGATAAGGATTAGATAGATCCTGAGGTTACCTTGTTGCCGGCCAGCGAGCAGCAATACAGGCTGTCCTCACTGCGTATCGAATGCCATCGCGATGATGGGAGCGGGGTTCGCGCTGTCTACCAGCGACACGCACAGATAGGGATGCCTGCTGCTTCTTGTCTTTACGATTATCCGTCTGCAACGACGCAACACAGCACAACAGTCACTAACGCCATCTAACGACAGATACATTCTGCGTTACGAGGCGCAGCTACGACTGGGGATAAATAAGGCGGGAGTCTTGACGATGTCAAGGTATCCATACATCCATCCTCCATCCATACATCCATCCATTCCATCCAT